ATATATATATATATAAAAGTCCACAAAGACAAGCATGCCATAGTTGAAGAAATATCTTACGAAATCACCTTTTTTACATATATTATGGCATGCATTATGAATTGCTCTTTGGATTTGCTTTACATTGGTTAAAACCATTACTTTAGAGTTCTTTAAAGGGTTATTAAAGGTTTTTCATCATTATTAACCTCTGACAATGGCAAGAGCAAAGCTGTATTCCTATACTTTGTACCTTATTGACTTCTGCTGTTTTGGTTCTCTGCACAGTGTTTCTAGCACCTGTTGACCATCTGTGAGGTACGGACTGATGGCCAAGTTAAACTACGAGCTTCTCTTATCAGTCTACATCCTCACCTTCCTGATCGGCCTTCCTGCCAACATGCTAGCGTTCTTTACCTTCCTTCGAAAGGTTCACCGCAAGCCAACCCCCATCGACATTCTCCTGCTAAACCTGACAATATCTGACCTCATCTTCCTCGCGGTCCTGCCATTCAAGATGAAGGAGGCCACTGACAACTTCAAATGGAGCCTGCCATATTACCTGTGCCCCATTAGCAGTTTCCTCTTCTTCTCCACCATCTACACCAGCACGTTATTTCTGACCGCGATTAGCATAGAGCGCTACCTAGGTGTTGTGTTTCCGATCCGATACGCTCTAGGCCGCCGACCACGCAATGCTGTGATTGCAAGCTGCTTCCTCTGGCTTCTGGGATCTCTTAACCTCAGCATCGTGTACATTGTGCCATACATACCCTCAAGTGATAATTCGAGCCACAGCAAGCTACAACCCAATCCTCACGAGATAATTTGCTACGAAAACTTCACCGTAGAACAGCTGAACATTCTGCTTCCTGCTCGTCTGCAGCTTTTTCTCGTGCTTTTCTGTATACCCCTCCTCATCTGCTGCTTCTGCTACATAAACTTCATACGAATCCTCTCCAATCTGCCTCATCTCGGACGCCGCCGTAGACTCAGGGCCATTGGGTTGGCGGTGGGGACGCTGTTGGTTTTCACCATCTGTTTTAGCCCATATAACGTCTCACATGTGGTTGGTTTCATTCGCGGTAATAGCGAATGGTGGCGTCATTTTGCTTTGATCTCCAGCACTCTGAACGCCTGTTTGGACCCCATCATCTTTTACTTTTCCTCGGCTGCTGTTCGCAGTGCCATACGCTCATGTGTTAATGGTCTAAAGGAGAAAATTCACATTGTAGAATGCAGAAGCTGCTGTTCTGCTGGCCCTTCCAAAACTGAAGCCTACAAGGAGACAAACCCACCTTTTGACCTGGGGTGAGAATCGAGCTATAGAGTATTTTAGTTCATTTAGGCCTACAGAAAGAAGTATTGTTTGCATGAAATAAATTTGATGTGAGAATGCACATTTTATTCAGAACGTTTTTGAATTTTTTATGATTTAAAAATGGATTTAAAAATAGATTTATTCAAGAGAAACAAAGATATATAATTAATGGATAAATTACACTTGTGTTGATTTCCTGGAAGTGAGTTTTCTCTGTTTACACTGTATAGATATACACAGAAAAGTACATACTGTAAACTGTAAAGTAATTATTATCAAATTATAATTATTAGTCCCCATAAAGTGATTTTCTCTATGGTAAAAGCTGCAAGCACAGTACCGCTGACAGTTAAAGAGCAGCTGATAACCACAGTTTACACAGACTTCAGTGTATTCAGCCTTTAGACTCTTCTCTTCTTTGTCTTCTGACTTGACTCGCACTATTTTGTATGTAGAGGCCATAAATTTGCTGATAACAAATGTCTAATCAATAATACTGATAATACATACTGTTTAATTTTCTTTTCTTACTGTTATTGCAGCTTGTCTTAATTATTTTTCACAGCAAAATGTTATCACCCCTCTCATGTAATGCATGACCACTCACAAAAAGTCAATAAATCATATTTATTAACATATTTAACATAAAATTACATGTTATAAATACATAAATATTATATAAAATCATAAATAAATAAACAGATATTATAGAAATAGTTGTTGTTTTTTTATTAATGGTTTAGGAGACCTCTCTTTGGGTGAAACTTCAAGGGTTACTGAGTGTTCAGCTCCCATACCCCAAAAGCCTCTCTCAAAAAGAGCCCCCAATTTATATTTGTATGTTAGTCACACATTTTGCAATCAGCATGAGTCCATGAGAGTGTTCTCCAAGGTTCTGGTTCTTTAAACTGGCAAGGTAACTTGGGATAGAGTGCTTCTTTTTCCCCTCATTGCTCATTATTTTCTTAGCACAAAATGCAAGGTTTTCTTGTTCTCTCTTTACAACTTTTTCTGGAACTTTTCCTTCTTTGCTCTGATGTTTCTATGAACCTCCTGTTACCATGGGATAATAGTCACAAAATTTGCTCCGTGATTTATAATAATGCATCAGAAGAATGTTGTGGAAAAACATGCTAGGATACCTAATAACTTCTGAGTACAAAACAGCACATACTGCAGTGGCGTCTTGAGGTGTCAGTACATAAGTTTCCACTTTGTCATGGTTGCCCTTGATATAGTTCCAAATTGTCACAGAATAGTTTTTAGCAATTTCTTTTGATGGTTTCAATTTTGCATTATTAAGATTTTTGTCATGAAGTTGTATCTCTTTCTCATCTTTTTTGATTGGACAACAGTACAGATCTGTACTGAGAATCCACCAACTAAAATGGTGACATCCTGCCTATCATGCTTTTCCTGTTTCCACCTAAATCCGATGAGATAATCAATTACATTGGCATAGTGCAAAAAATGGCTTATTCTGATTGGTGCACTGATATCAGTGTTTTAAGTCTTCGATGCTCCTATCGGCAATGTTTTTAATTTGTTGAGGAGCACATCTTCCCAGGATGTATGCACTCCAGACGGTTGATCAGGCATTTTTGCAGCGGAGTTTTCATCTTCTGAATTTTGAGCAAATGTTTCAGGAATTTCATACAAAAACCTCTTTTCTCTCATTTGCTCTCGAATGACAGATTGACATGTGGCTTGTTTTCATTCCCCTCACAATTGGACTGCTAGAAAATTCAAATACAAAAATGAGCTGCATAATAAGTATTGATGTTGATAGTTAAACAATAATTGTACAACAGATATAACTTACATTGTTCCCTCTGTCCTCCCAATCTGAGCCGATCTCAGACCCTTTGCAGTCCTCAGGCTGACTGTAGTCGCTAAAATGTAAATAAACACTAGTTAGGTTGTGTAGTAGCCCATACAATCTGAGGTTATGTATTAAGTGATAATCAAGAAAAAAAAAGTTACGTAAGATTAGTAAATCATTTTACATTTCTCAAATGATTTATTGCGTATTTGAGTAACAGATTAAACTGTATTTTTAACAGATTTTTAGGCAACACTATTTTAAGGTATCCTTGTTACACATTACATGTACTTACTATTGTAATAGCAATAAATTATGCATAATCTAATCATAACTAGTTATGGTTAATTATTCATATTTCCTGTTGTGAGCTAAATTCGCTACAGTACTTAAATGTATAATTACACTGCAACAAGAACACCTTAAAATAAAGTGTAACCGTTTTGTTTTTTGATATGTGGTACTGTTTTTGGAGTCAAAGGAAAGTGAGTGTTGATCACAAATAAAAGTGTTAAGAAACTCTTTAATTTAGACCTTTTTCTTTTTTTTTGCCATTTCCAACAATGAACGTTTCATCTTCAGGTGGGCAGTTAAATAAACATCTCCTGAAAGTCCAGTAGAAGCAGACAACAATGAATATCATATCGGTTCCAACATGTATGAGCTACATTTACTGTATAATAAACATACAAACACACGAATGAAACAGCTAGCTTTATGTACTTGGTAAAAGCGTTACAGTAAAAGTCAAGTTTATTTTAATAAATGTATCTTGCTTGAAATAAAAACTACATAAGTCATTGCTTAGGTCATAAATGTTAATTGAAAATTATACTTCAATGTAAAGTTAATAGTAGGATGTAATTGATTACTGTATTAACAAACGGAGGGAGGTAAAGAACCTACTTTGTTGAGTTTAGAGATGACAAATATGCCTCCTCTTTACCGAAGAGTATGCGATCTTGTGATCATCTGTTTTACAAGAAAAGAGCAAGCAATTCAAATTCGTATTACAGCATATTTATTCTGCACGTTCATATCTGTGGCCAGTTCATGATAACAGAGCAATTGTCTTTATGATTTAGCAAACATCTCTCCAAAGGTACTAGTCTAAACCTACACATGCTTTGACAATGTACTGACTGCCCAATCAATGAAACATACATCTGAATAACATTGGACCTCTTTTGTTCTGTTGGGTTGCATCATCCTTTACAGAAGAAGGCTCAGCGTTGGTTGGTTTCAGGAAAACACACTTCTTCTGAATCACAGTTTTCACAGACCTTTTATATTGAAGTAGAGATGAGAACAATGTAATTGTTATGACATAGATCATGTGTAGAGTGGTCTTGTGTCCTAAAATAAAATAGAATAGAAAACAACTTACTATCAGGCTTTTGGCAGAAGAGTTTTCTTCTGGGACTGCATCTTCAGAAGAGGTCTTTGCACCTTTGTTGATGCTGTAAAAGTATTTGTATTAGTGTTTATGTATGAACTCCATATTCGAAAATCACTCACACACTCTACTTACCTAGATACGGTCTTCTTTGATTGGTGTTTTTTGTTTAATACATGGAACGCCGAAGGCGGTGTGGTTCATTTTCTTCAAAACAGGAGAGGTCTCCCAAATATTTTTGGATGGAAGCTTTTGGAGACATGTAACCATCTGAGCGCTGTTGCCAAGTAAGCTGGTTAAAAACATCCCTTTGAGACAAATCTTGAATAAAATGCCACATGCTGTGACCATTTCAGGCATTTGCATCAAAAGTTTCTTTGGTCTATTTGTGATCCTTTCATTGACAACAATTCTTGATCTGTTAATGTAAGAAAACTTCCCTCCAAAATATCTTGAAATCATCTTCTGTGATTTCTTCTTCCATTCCACCAGCTTCTTTTGCATTACTATACATTGCAATGCATGACTGAGGACATGACACCAATATACCCACTCACTTTCCATATCACACAACACATAGTATAATATTAAGCATCGTAGTGGAGGTCAAAGTGCTTGCAGGTGTCCCATCTTATCCTTGATTTAAGGCTTTATCAGAAAGCAATCATCTATTCCTTCTCACTTGGAATTCTTCATCTACTGAATCAGAAACCATTTGACAAATTGGGATGAGGAGGATGCGTCTCAATATAAAGCATACTGAGGGGTAATCACTGAAAAATGTAGCTTGCAAGTTGCTAGAAGTTCTCCAATACTCATGATTTCTGCAGAGGTTCCCACTCTGAATGAAATAATGAATAATGGCATTATTTCGAAGATCTAACTTTGACTGGTGAGTCCATCTTCATCCACCACAAATCCATTGCAGCATGGGCTACTGACACATTAGCATACAGGAGTATTGTCTTTTTAATGTTGTACCAAATGTTGATACACTTACTGTATCGCAAACGTTTTTCTGCATGTAGACACGTCTTTGGACCGCCTTTTCTGATTGTGCTGTGTAACTGCCGCGTCCACTGAAGTCCAAATCAGGTCCACAGAGAAAATGCATTGTGAAAATGAATGGTTGTTGATGTTTTTTTTTAATAATTTACTCTGCTCAGTTTGTTGTAGATTTTTATGGATTTGTTGTTTAAAAGGTAGTTCCATTTGAATTATTGGCCACAAAGACAGAAGTATACAGCTTGAACAGTGTGCCTCCGGAAATTTTCACTCTTTTCATATCGATACATCCAGTGCTTGAAGTGAAAAGAGATCCAGTTTGTCCACGCTCACGCGCAAGAGAGACCCAGCGTGTCCACGTCAATGCTGCAGACAGTAAACCTGCATTTGTCAAGCAGGACAGAAAAGGGTACTGAGCTGCCGGTACGACAGAACAATGTCTGGTACTGTAAACAGCATAGAGGGCCACGCTGCTATATAGTTTCAAACTGAATTTGTAATAAAAAAAATATTTACAGGCAAATTAGGTAAGATCTAAGCACCACAACTTTAACTCTTCCAAATCACTCAAAGTGGATGGTGAAATCTTCGAAAGGAATAGGGCATAGGGTCGATAACTCTGAATAGAACACACCCCAGGTGCGGCGCAATCAATAACATCAACACAGCAAACTAACACCGACCTATGCCTCTAACCACAGGTGAAGCGCTGTCATTCCAACGACACAAGTTTGCGATGCAGTTGGCAAATGTTCGTTTGAACTATGGTTTCGGGAAACACCGAATCATGGAACTATGTTGGTAACGACGGAACTTGCGACCATAGTTGGCTAACGATGCTTTTGGGAAACGCACCCCAGGTTAGGTTCACAGAGTAAGTTACTATGGTAACTTACCTAGAGGTTTAGTTTTGTCTTTTACTGGAACCGAAAACCCTGAGTTTCCCTTTTCTGGGGTTAACAAACTCTGAGTTTCCAACAAAACCCACTTTCTGGAACACACCCCTGGTGTGTTGTTCCAGATGATGTTTATGATGTCTTGAATGAGTCACGTTTTATTGACCCAGAGAGAATAGAAAAGGAAAGTATGTCACGTGACGTGCACCTGCTTACACGTAGGATTACCTCTGTTATACACATCAGGTAAGGAATGTGCCATTTTTGTGTGCCATTGGTGTACCATTTTTGTATGTTTTGGTTTTAGTTAGCGTAGCCTTAGTTAGGGTGTATTGCATGCCGAAGATTTTCTTTTGTTTTCTGTTTTTGTTTTTTGTTCTTTACCTTAATTGTATATAAGTATTATCTCATTTTGCCTTGTGTATAAATTCTGTCTTTTTGTGTGCCATTGGTGTACCATTTTTGTATGTTTTGGTTTTAGTTAGCGTAGCCTTAGTTAGGGTGTTTATTGCATGCCGAAGATTTTCTTTTGTTTTCTGTTTTTGTTTTTTGTTCTTTACCTTAATTGTATATAAGTATTATCTCATTTTGCCTTGTGTATAAATTCTGTCCTTGGCACTGTAAATAAAGCGAACCACTTCTTAGAGACAAACTGATAAGGTTGTGCTAATTCTTATGTGTGTCTTCGCCATACCTCTGAGCCACTAGGGGACGTAACACTAACAAAACCCAATACCAACTAGAAAAGAACAACATGCCAAAAGATGATTAACATTTACAAAGATATTTAATAGATGTATAAAAATATGAACAAACATTTTCATGTCCAATATAAATTGAGACAACATGGTGGACATGTTATGTTTTATGCTATTAGAGAAGACTTCTAAAATTGAGGAATACGGAGAAGTTTAAGAATGAAGTTGCTTTCCCTCCAAGGAAATGATGACACTTCTAGCAAGTCATGTGATTCAGGGCATTTGCTTAAGATTTTAAGGGCAAGTGGCACCACTGTAACAGGGTGGACTGGAGATTGAGACATAATTTAATGGTTTTGTGCATTAAAAATATGTATCACAATAAAATGTATTGTGTGACGTGAGATTGAGAAAACATGATTTGAGACATGGGAATTTGTGATGGGAAATGCTTTTTAAAATTATTCTTAGGTACCAATTTTGATTATTATGAATTATGAATTTGAACGTTAAAAAAAAAAACTATAGGAATGACCCAATAATAATGCTCTTAAAAACAGCTGCCAGTGGACTAATGGTCAAATTTATATTTGCTGGAAAATGAACATTCTAAATAGGCACCACTGTAACAGGGTGGACTGGAGATTGAGACATAATTTAATGGTTTTGTGCATTAAAAATATGTATCACAATAAAATGTATTGTGTGACGTGAGATTGAGAAAACATGATTTGAGACATGGGAATTTGTGATGGGAAATGCTTTTTAAAATTATTCTTAGGTACCAATTTTGATTATTATGAATTATGAATTTGAACGTTAAAATAAATTAACTATAGGAATAAACTATAGGAATGACCCAATAATAATGCACTTAAAAACAGCTGCCAGTGGACTAATGGTCAAATTTATATTTGCTGGAAAATGAACATTCTAAATGAATATTTCAAAGACATTCTTGTGAGAGATGAAGTTATGAATGAGGCATTACAATAATTGATTTCAATATCACTGCACACATCCATTAAAAAGATCTAGTAAACTGGATACTTTTGTAGATAGATGTCACACAACAGAAGGGGACAGAGACAATATGACAGCAACAGATGATTTATTAAACAGGAAGGCTGGCTCAGATAAATGAATAGAGCAGGATACAGACAAATGGATGATGTAGGAAGGGTGGGCAGGCAGGCAGGCAGACAAACAGACAGACAGGCTTGCTGAGAATCTTGAGAGTCAGGCAGCCGTTCTTGATAGAACGACGAGACCAGACACTGAGGGACTGTGAGAAACCAACTAATATAGGGAGTGCTAATGAGGAGTTCCTGGTGTGAAGGATCAGTATTCTGGTGATTGGGAATGAGTAGGCAGGGATCTGGAGCTGGCGATGTTGACTCTGTGACAATAGGTAGGTAGATATATAGATACATACAAACACGGCCTACATACATACATATACAGTTTTTCCAAGTAAACATTGTTTGTAAAGTTTCCCATTGATAAGCGATTATTTGCCATTCACCCAAAATTTGAAATAAGATTCATTTAAGAGTAGACATTTTCAGAATTAGATGATATATTCAAGAGTAGAACAGAGATGAATATCATTACAGATGATATACTGTAGATGCAACCAATCCCTTCTCTTTACAAATTATTTTTTGTCCATTCTCTCAGACCATTGTAACAGTCCCTCTGCTGCTTAGCATTTGCCCCACAGGTGTCTCTAAGCCAGTTCCCAAACTTCTCCTGGTTCTGGTTGAAGACCAGGAAATGGCCCTCGATGTCCCGTGCATGGCTTATACCGCTGCCCTGCAGTCGCCCGCCCAGCACACGACCAATTCCAGGAAGATCATGTACAGGTTTATCTCCCATCGGCTCCAAACAGAACTGCTTGTGTTTTCGGGAAGTAATTGCAGCTAATTGTAGGTCAGACTCAGCAGCGATATTAGTTGTGAAGTCACAAAACTGAAAAAAAGTAACATAAACAAGATGTATCTTGTTAGACCTGTAAAAAACGGATTAAATGTCTGACGTCTGACAGACATCTGTAAGATGTCAGTTTTACATACATTCTAAATCATAAACTAACATCTAATAGATGTCTATTTGAAATCTAAAAGGAAACGTCCCATAGACGTATTGAAGATGAGCAAACACTCTAAAAAAACTGAGTGTCTATTTACACTAAGTGCAAATAGCCTGCCATGTTGGCAGAGGCTATTTACACTAATTCCGCCCACCAACGTGTGATTTGGATAGTCAACATTACAAAAAAAGGCTTAGATCTCTGCCACAATTCTGTGCGCGAAAGATCATATTTTGAGCGCACAAAAGTGAAATTCTGATTGGCTGCCTTGACAACCAATCACAACATTCCTTGCATTACCAGGACAGCAGAAGAGGAAAAATACAATGCATGCATAATTACTATGCAAGTTGATATTCTGATTATATTTTTTTCCAAACACATTTTACCAATTCCAAACAACGTCAATCTTAATAACTACTATTAATCTTGTATTTAATCACTTATAATCTATATATTATTGTTCATGAAGGCTGGAAGTGAAAAATGCCTTATATTCAGGTGTGCATAATTATTAAGCAGGTTATCTTCTACAGATAAAATCTCGAGATGGACTAAAAATTAACTCCCAAAACTTACTGCCAGATTCTGGAAGATAAATTCTACAAACAGTGGTACAAGAGGATGGGGTGCTGGTCCTTCAAGAGTCACTCTCAACTTATCTGTCTATAAAGCCTATCTATCTGTCTATAAAGCCTATCTATCTGTCTATAAAGCCTATCTATCTGTCTATAAAGCCTATCTATCTGTCTATAAAGCCTATCTATCTGTCTATAAAGCCTATCTATCTGTCTATAAAGCCTATCTATCTGTCTATAAAGCCTATCTATCTATCTATCTATCTATCTATCTATCTAT